AAAAAAAAAAAAAAAAAAAAGAGTACATCGTGTGATAATTATTAAATAACTCCTTAAGAGTGATCTCTCAAAGCCACAGCTACATATTAAAGTGGTACAAAATAGTTTCTGGAAATAAAAATAATTTCTAATACTTCTGTGGCACTTGTAGTGTACCATTTTAATAAGTTCCTTATCAGGCACTCAGATAAAATAAGCATGCTTTCTAGAAGGTACCAGAATCTACCAATCCACTTGAAGTTCAAGTACCAATCTACTTGAAATACATGGCCAGGCGTGGTAGCTCATGCCTGTAATCCTAACACTTTGGGAGGATGAGGCAGGTGGATCACCTGAGGTCAGAAGCTCAAGACCAACCTGGCCAACATGGTGAAACCCCATCTCTACTAAAAATACAAATATTAGCCAGGCATGATGGTGAGCACCTGTAACCCCAGCTACCTGGGAGGCTGAGGCAGAAGAATCACTTGAACCTGGGAGGCAGAGGTTGCAGAGAGCCAAGATCGCACCCACTGCACTTCAGCCTAGGTGACAAGAGCAAAATTCCATCTGAAACAAAAACAAAAACAAGTACATGACTTAAAAAAAAAAAGGCATCTTGTAGTTCAAATAAACCTTGCAGCTGGTAAGTCCTTCTATCAGACAGGCCCATGTACACAAAATGGCTTCTTTTTATCTTGATATTGCCAACTGAAATGTATCATGGAGAGAATTTCTCCTTACCCACAGAATTTAAGATTGTAGAAGACTTGGCCTGACACTGTAACAGAAGGCAGACTGTCCTCAGATCTGCAGATATATTATTTAGAATTTACTTAAAAGAGCTGGAAAATACCTTCCTTTAGTGAGAATATTCCAAAGGCCTATGTAATCCTATTTTTTCTGAATACTGACATCAGCAATGTAATACTAATGTCCTTAAAGTGTCAAAAACATCATGCAAACATTTCCGGATATCAAAACTAGATGATATTAGATTTGGCTTTTGGATACCATGCCAGCATTTAGATCACGTCAATTCAAACTCAACCCTGAATCTGACTCTATGCAATTCATAAAATTGCCTTGCCTGAATATAAACAGAACAGTGGGTAGCAGTAAAATTTCCACAACATTTTTCCTCTTTTTGTTCCATTTACAGTGAGAAGCTTTTGTTTGTTTCTGTAGACACACATTTATAAATGTTCTGCTCTGCATGGAAAGTTAACACTACCAGAGTGAGTTTTATTTTAAACATGCAAGGAGATGTTTTTGTATGTACAGAAAGGGAACTAATAACTACATCAAGGAGGAAAATGGGGTAGATAGGTCCTGACAGAGTGTGAGCACAGTGGCTGCACTGAACTCATAAGGGCTCTTGCTAGCTAAGGATAAAATCTCATTATCTCCAGTTATGGGTGACAACATTTGGAAGAACACTGTTTCCAGTTAAAAGTATCCTAGTTATCTGCTCTGGAGTAATCCAAGATCCACTGAAACCAAGGCTGCTTCCCATACCCGGCTGTCATGCGTACCACTGTTGTGCTTATATTAATAATATGAGACTTCAACTCTTGGACTTCATTTCCTCCTGACAATAGCCACCATGAGTTGTTTAGGAGGAGAAGACAATTTAAAGCAACATTTTCTAAGTAACTGAAATAAATCTAGTCTCAGGTATTATGCCTAGAACACCACGAAGAAGCATGTCATGATCCAGCTAGGCTGGGTCATGGGTCCAGATCTAGCAACTCGATCCATTTTCCAAGACGGCAGCAATCTGCGTCAAGTTAAGAACTTGTTTCCCTTCCTAAATCCTTTGGCTGTGAACTGACTTAGAATTGAAAACGTATTATTTTAGCTAAAATTTATGAATTATTTATTTGCCTCAGCTTTCTTTCTTAAGATTTCCTTGTACGTTTAAGTATAACTACAATGTAGAGTTAACCCAATTATATCAGAATGGTAAATTCTTTTCCCCACAAAAAGAACCCTCCGGATTTACAGATGTCTTGCTTTGATTTACATCCATCCATGTTGCAACAGAGCTTAGCCACTTTTTTCTTTGCCTTTCCTTGGTTCCTCCTGCATTTTGAGGGTGGTAAGGAAGTATAAACATTAAAGTATATATTTGATTTATTGCCTGATCCACTTTCTCTGACAATAGAAACAGGCCATATCCAATGAGAAATTAAATCATTCAAATATGTCTTTGTAGCTAGAAATTAATTCACTCTTTTATAAGAATTTGAAACTATGTATTTAGAAAATATATACAGTCATTACTTTAGGAAACTGAATAAAATCCACTAGAAATTTGAGGAAAGGATCCAAGACATTTTCACAACTGTCTTCCCAGGATTCTTCACAGTTGAATACAAAGTAAGACATGAGAAATCGTAAGTCTTGAGAAATGTATTTCATATTTAGGGCAAACAGATGTTTCCAGCTGATTTATAATCTCTTCTTTTCTCAAAAGCAGCAAAAAGCACCATTATAAAATGTAAAATGGAGAAGAATCGTCTGAAGGGCCACCATGCAACCATATGGCACAGGATCTAGATTATGCACTGCAGTGGTTCCGAAATGTGGCCCTTGGGCCAGCAGCCTCAGCATCACCTGCAAACTGGTTAGAGATGCAAATTCTCATGTCCTTCTTCAGACCAACTACATCAGAAACTGAGGATGGGGCCCAGCAGTCGCTGTCCTAACAAGTTCTCCAGGTGACCCTGATGCACACTCAAGCTTGGTACCACTGCTCTGTGATTTTTTGTTCTGAATTTGAGGTCTGCTATTGTTAATCTGCCATACTTAAAAAGAAAGGAGTTGGAAAGTCATTTTCAACTAAAAAACATTTCAAACAGAGGAAATAGAAAAAATAAAGGACTGAAGGCCAATGCCTTGGCTGCAGAAGCAGCTAATGCATTTTATTTTTAGACCTCATCAGTTATTTATTTCTTTTCTTTCAATCCCAATATCTTAGAATTAGGCTTTATTGTAGTATCAGAAAGGGCAAACAGTCACCCACAATGCACTAGAACAACTCACAAGCCAGCATCTCATATGACTGGCTGGTACCCACGCCATATAAAGCTTTAAATGTATCTCCCCAACAGGGGATGGTAGAGAATACAAACACATGGAGCAACTACTGTCTTAGAATTTAATTATGGTTAATAAAGAATACAAATGAAATATACAATATGAAGGCATCAGAGAAGGACCCAGTAGAAAGAAATCACTCCAGATGATTCAAATAAAGAGACCTTAGTGAAGGGAAGATTTTAGAGGTGTGGGCAGGATTAAGGAAGCAAACAAAGTAGGCTCAGAGACCCAGAGACTGGCGACAGTGCAGTCACCAGCATCCCTTGGATGGAAACGACAAGGAGAGAAAATAGTGTCATTGGCAAAGAAGGTGGCCCAGTGGGAGCTGTCTTCATGGAAGGATCCAGTTGCTGCCCAAGATAGAACTCCAAAGCATGAAGCTAGGATGTTAGATATATTGTGACTTACCTCTCCTGCCCTCCAATCTCCTGCCTTCCACCTGCCAAACAAAACCGAGCTAACGGCAAGGGAGCCTGGGTGATACAACCCACAATGGTCTAATGCCCAGGGTATGGAGCCAAGCAGAGAAGAATGAGACTAACTGGGAGGGGTGGAGTACTAGAGAGTAACAAGGATTACCGACAAATAGGACTCAGAGGCTTTGACTCTCATTTAACTCTACTTTTTTGGGAACAGGTACATGCATCATTTCTCTTTTATGATAGGCAGCTTTAATGTTGAACTCCAATTTTTAAAAGGTCCTTAAATAAATATTTACTATTTCAACGTTGTATTAACCCTAGTGATGTCAGCAACTATGACCAAATCAATAACCATAATTATCAGAGACGTTTAGAACTTTTGATTCAGAAATGGCATTGGAACAATTTATGTAGTTAAATAGCTTTTAAAATATTGTTTATATCCCACAAGAACAACTCATAAAAGATATTAGCATATTTTAATTAACATGTTTTAGTAGCAAAATTATATTTAAATGACATTTTGTTATCCTCCTAATAGCTTTACAAGTAATTTTCAGACACATTTGAATCCCTGCCCAGAGGGTTTTATTAACATAAAACAACCAAATAATTTAGCAACATTTATAAAAAGTTTTGTGTAACCATCTAAATTTCTAAAGCTCTGATTTGGGCTTCTGTGGTGCATGTATAATCAGTACACAGGAGGAACACAAAGTCGCCTTTCTAAAACTGTCTCCACTTCATAGAGAGACACCAACAAGACCTCTACATGCAGGGCAGACCAGTGGCTTGCTGCTGCTGGCTTACACTGGCCTTGAGAGTGGATTCTGTGCATCTCTTCCCCACTCCATGTTTAGTGGCTTCACATGGATAGTTTGAAATCTGCCACAATGGGAGTATTGACACCATGGAAACTGACAAAAGTTACAAATAGGAGTTTACTATCTGTGAAAATACAGAGGCCCACTAGGCATGCAGGCTTCTCCCTAGGACCTGTAACATATTTTTTGGCTGTCTAGGATTTGCTGGGGATAGCCCTTGTCTCTATGATTCCTGTGGACTTTACTACTGAAATCAACTCTCTTTCTGGGGCTGATAATACTGGAAGTTTCCATGTTGCATGTGCAGTTAGTACCTGCATTGAGGTAGGGGAGACACCTCTACCTGGGGCCATTAGTGTCACTGTGGCCCAGGCCTTCCAATGTCCATCTCAGGAAGAGGTGGTCTCTTCAAAGACACTGCCTCACCTCCAGCCTATCCAAGGGTAGCAGCTTAGCCAATCCTTAGACATTTCCACCTGAGCCAGCATCTGCAGGGGCCTTTGAAAACAGTATGCTGAGAATAGATAGGGCTCAAGGACAGTATCTCCAATTGAACTTTTAATGAACTCCCGTAGGCGCCAAGAAGGCGGGCAGATAAGGAAGAGCATAGAAACAAGGAACTGAGTAGAAGGTTACATGTGGGAAAAGAAAGTTTGTTTTGCATTGCATTCTTTCTGCTGACGTGGGGTTTATGGAGTATAAATAAAGTGAGGCGGAGGCTCTGAGTGCGGCCGCCATGTTCTCTGTGTGTCTTTGTCTTTTGTGTGTTCTTTCATTCTCCACCACCCCCGGCACGGATCCCAACAAGTGGCGCAGCGAGCAGGGTCAGCACGGGTGAGTAGGGGAGAACAAGAAGGGGAACCCCCTAGGGGCGGGTAAGGCCCAGATATTGTTAAGGGGAACCTTCTTAAGCTTTCATTATGGGGAATGCCATCTCTCTGGCCCCAGAATATTTACGGCTGTTTCAAGGACTGTTGCTGTCTATAGGAGTAGAAGTGAAAGAAAAAGACTTTGAAGTGATTGTTTGCCCATGCTGAACAACATTGTTACTGGTTTCAGTATCAGACTAAAGTGCAGCTAAATCGCAGAGAATGGTTACAGGTAGTAAAAACTCTGCTTAGAGCTCTCCAGTTAGGGGATATTATGCCTCTAAAATTGTGGACCTTGTGTGACTCTATCACTCAGACATTAGAGTTACTTGAGACTGATTCAGAGTGTGGTAATGTAGCCACAGGAGGAAAGGTATCTGAGGATTTGGGGGAAAAAAAAAATAAATCTGAAATGGAGCCCATTTGTGCCAGGATAACAGAGGATGGGGGGGGTAACAAAAGGGGGAAAAGAGAAAAAGCCAGCTCTTCCTTCTTCTAAGGGAAATTCTGACAGGCAGTGTATTATGGAAATGCTTCAACAAATATTACAAATATATTCTTCTAATTCACCTTTGCGAGCTTTCCCTGTTTCTTTTCCTTCTGCCCTGTTAAAAGAGAATTTTCCAGAGCCTCCAACCCCCCGGCTTCCTTATCTTTACCTTTGTTTGGCAAAGTTGAAGCCCTGTTCACATCAGACATACTTTAAATTTATACTAAACACCTGTTTAATATGTCAAAACCAGTGTATATGTATATCTTGTTGTTTGTTAAAATATTATGAGTATTTCAATAGTCAATAAATAAGCACATTAATATTAACTATTATTATTAATATAGTATTAATAACCCCAGCTAGAAAATTGTTATGTTATAGGGGTGCATAGGTTCCGCCAATTTACACTCCAAACAGAAGTTGAGTATTCGAGCTGCTTAACACATTAACTACCTCTTAATATTTTCTGTGTTTTTAAATTTTAACCATTGTATTGTGTATGTAATAATTCTCAATTTGGTATTAATATACATATTTCCTAGTGAGTAATGATGTTAGACATATAAGTTTATTGTCATTTCTTTGTTCTGCTACTTTTGGTTGGGTTATTTGCCTTTTCTTATTAATATGTTGAGATTCTTTATATTTGGGGATATGAGTATTATTATATATTATATATACTTTTAATTAAAAAAAAAAATTTAAGAAGCTGAATCTGTTTCCAATTATTTGTGCTTCTTTTGCTCCTAATGCTCAGTTTTCAAATGGTGGCAATAATGTCCAATTTAATGCCTTACAAACTAAATTTAAAAATAAAAATAAAAACTGCCATTTCTAACCATAGACCTCAATCTCCTTTTATCCTTGGTCTTCTTAATATTTTTTCATCAAAAAATTTAATAATTCCTATAGACTAAAAGACTTTGGGAAAGGCTTTTCTTAATCGTTCTCAGTGGTTACAATTACACAACTGGTAAATAAACAAGACACATGTACAGGCTAAAAAAAATGTTATGTGTTATCCCCCTGGACCCACTGAGAAACAACTCACAGACACGGGCCAATATGCTACTCTTAATGCTCAGGCTGGTTAAGATGATGTTGCCCTTACTCAAATCAAGACTTTGTTTTTAAGGGCCTAAAATAAGGTAAAAATAACAAAAAAAATGTTCCCTTTCCTCTGTAAAGATTTTACAGGGCACAAATAAACTATATCCAGATTTCGTAGCCTGTCTTCAGAATACTGTCTTCAAAATTGTGGGTGCTGGCCTTACTTCAAAAATTTTGTTACAAACATTGTCTTTTAAAAATACTTATACTGACTATTAAAAATTGTTAACATCGTTAAAGGCCAATGGGGCCAATTTAGATAAATATATTAAAACTTGTGTTAGTGTTGAAAGGGCTATTTATAATACTCAATTATTTGCTGGAACTTTGTCTAAAGCCTTAAAAAAAATAACAAACAAGGTGTTTACTTTCAGTGTGGTAAACCTAAACATTTCAAAAAAAAATGTCATAAAAATTAAACACTTTTATCCCTCAAGGCAGAAAGCTGCCTTCAGAGGTGTACAAATGTTGTGATAAAGGTCGACATTGAACAAATAAATGTCGTTCCAAAACTAATAAAAGTGAAAATTTACTGTCTCCTCTCCTAAAAAACGAAAGCCGGGGCCCACAAACTTGGGGCCCCAACAATTACAATACAAGTCTACTACAATATTCAGTAAACAATGGCCTACAACATTAAAAAATAAATTCAAGTCCTCCTTAAGGATCCCACACCTTACCCCAGTTTCTCAGCTTTATGCAACAACTAAACAGAGCGCCGCAACTGACTTAGCTATTACTCAGCCTTATACTTTGTCTCCTAATAAAAAAGTATATAAATTAACTATTAAAGTATGTGGCCCTTTGCCAAAAAGACATAATATTACTAATAAAATTCTTATTTTGGTACAAGTTTCACAATTTATACGCCTAAAGACAGAAAAACGTATTCTCAATAAAAAGGGTTTCGTAACACAAAAAACCTGTTTTTTGGAAAACTTTAGTTTCTAATCAAAAACCCTTATGTTCATTACACATTAATAAAATAGTTTTTAAAAAGTTAATTAATACGGGGGTAAATATGTCTATCATTTGTTTAAATTATTGGCCTACACAATAAAAAAAAAGACAAGTTTCAGTTATACTCACTGACTTGGGTACTACTTCTGTGGTTTATCAAAACGTAAAACCTTTAATCTGTGTCAGTCCTAAAGGTCAACAAGGTCAAGTGTTTTTTTATATTATTCCTATCAATATTAATCTTTAGGGACAAAATCTTTCATAACAATTTGGTACTTTTTTAAACATTCTTCATATTTCCTCAACTGTCAAAAATATAATGTTCAAAATGGGCTACAATCCTTTAAACTCATAGCCACTGTTCACCAGCCTCAAGTTTTATAATTAAAGTATAAAACAACCACTCCTCTTTAGGTAAAACAGTGGCCATTATCTAAAAAAATACTTAAAATTTTAAAAAAGTAAGTCAAAAAACAAATGGCCAAAAAAAATCTAAAGCCACGTACTTCTACATGAAATTCCCGTCTTTGTCTTGTTCTTAAAACTATAAATGTTTACATTCAACCTAGAAAAAGTTTACAGCCCGGTCTTCCTAATCCTGCCCTTATCCCACAAAGTTAAAACCAAAAAAAAAAAAAACAAGATGCTTTTGTATCATTACAAACTCAACTTTCTTTCTACTCACTTAATATTGCCACAAAAAAAATTTAACTAAATTTTCTTATTCAATATTTAGGTTATACCTTAAAAACACAAAATATTCAACCCCAAAAAATTCAAATTCAACGTAATCATTTAAAAACATTAAATGATTTTCAAAAACTTCTAGGAGACATTAATTAAATACGTCCTGTTTTAAAAATACCAACATATCAGTTATAACATCTTTTTTCTATTCTAAAAAAAGACAGTCACTTGGAAAACTCATGCCATTTAACTCCTTTAACTTTACAAAAACTCCAACTTGTTAAAAAACAACTTCAAAAGGCCCTTCCTTTTGTTTATTTCATACTTTACCTTCTCCCACAAAAATAATTCATCAAACTAGTCAACCACTAAAATAGATCATTTTGTCCAATAAAATATCTAAACACTTAACTACTTATATCAATCGTTTAACTAAACTAATCATCAAAAAACGACATCACTGTCAACAACTTTGGAAAAAAAATCCTTCCTTAATTATCTCTCAATTCACTCATAATCAGATCACTTATCTTCTTACAACTTCTAATTCTTGACAAGTTGCTTGCGCTTCTTTTGTTGAACAATTTTCTACCCAATATCCTAAGTCTCCAATCTTTTCATTTTTTAGGCAACATTCTGTGTTGCCTTTCTCACCAATTTCTGTATTTCCTGTTCAAGGTCCTACCTTTTTTACTAATACTAGTAACTATAATAAGACTAAATATTAAAGTGTTCATCAATCTCAAGTTACAGTTTATCCTTATCCCTCGGTACAACAAAAAAAACTGTTTACTATTCTCATGGTCTTACTTAATTTCCCTACTACTGGTTGTAACATTGTTAGTAATTCTCAATACGCCGTTTATGTTACTTCTTACATTTCTCAGGCCACTTTACCTCTTTGTACTACTTCTTCTCTTCAAAAACTCTTTTCCTTGTTATCTTCTACTTTGAGCCAACGTCAAACTCCTTTATTCATCACTCATCTTCATTCTCATTCTCAACTTCCTGGACCATTAATTCATAGTAATACTCAAATTAATTCACTTTTAATAGGCCACCTACATACTACAAAACAAAAATATACTCTACATCACACTAATAGTTCTGGCCTTCAACAACGGTTTCATTTAACTTATAAACAAGCTCGTTCTCTTATTCGAGCTTGTCCTTCCTGTACTCCTTTAAACATTCCATCCTTCCATCCTGGGGTTAATCCACGAGGTGTCCCTTCTTTTAAACAATTAAAGTATGTTCATCATACCATTAATACTTTTTCTCATTTCTGTTATTACTCATCTCTTAACTTGTTTCGCCATCATGGACATTCCTCTTATACTTAAAACTAATCATGCCCCTACCTATGTCTCTCATAAATTACAAGTTTTCTTACAACAATACAATATTCAACATATCATCGGTATCCCGGACAACAGTCAAGGTCAAGCCATCATTAAACACACAAATTTAACTTTAAAAACTTAACTATTAAAACAAAACAAAAAGGGAAAAATGAGCCCCCCAGAAACCAGATTTTGAAACCAGATTTTGAAGGTTCTTTTTACCTTCATTTTTTTGAATCAATGGAGACAATTGCAAGATTCCGCTGCCGTAACCCATCTTTCCTCACCTCCCTCGGTGATAGTCCCCGCTGACAGTTTAAAGGTTTGGTATCCTAATGAAGAAGGTAAGTATGTTCAAGGGCAAGTTCTAAAACAGGGACAGGGCTATGCTCTTGTCCTTACAGGAAGCGGACCTAAGTGGTTTCCTACAAGATGATTGAAACCCTGTTAAAAAGAAAACTGGATTCAGCATGCATTTCTTCCTTTGTTGGATGTGCCTCGGCGGGGGACTTATTTCCCTTAGTGAGGCTTTGTATGAATATTGGACTTATATTCCCTTTCCGCCCTTGTATCAGGGAGTCGCCTGGGGAGAGGCGGAAATTAAGGTTTTCACCCATAACATTACTTGGATGCCGTCCCCCTATATGGACAAGGACAACATAGAACGGGAAACAGCAATTATAATCAGCACATACCAATTTGGAGTGGAAGGACTTCCAATATGTATGGGAAATAGTTCTCATTGTCTCCGAAAATCGCATGAAGCCTGGGCTGTTCGTTATAATCATAGTCATGTGGCTACTAATACTGTTATTATTGTAACTAGAAGTTTTTAATATAATCATACTGTATATAGTAATGAAACTATTCCTAGTTCTTTACTTTTTTGTCCTATTCTAGAGGTTTCTCCTAATATTGAGGTGCTGGAGTAACAACAATGTCGGGGAACTAAACCCCAAATTTTATTAGAATACAATGAAATGTAAATAACTGATTGGAGTGTGCACGGTAATTTTCAAATAAAATTTAGTCACATACCTTTAAAATGACACTGGGTAAATAAAAGTATTGCTACTAACAGTAATGAAACCTTGGTATGGCGTGAAGGAGGCCTAAAGTACAGAGTCATCTTTGGAAGTTGTTAGCTGCAGGCGATGCCATTAGCACTTTTGTGGGGAATATGTCCCTTAATCTTTCTAACCCAACTAACTCCTTTCATATTCAGTTATATCGAAATACCTCCTGATATATTATTGCTTGTGTCTGTAAGCCCTACCTATTATTAGCAGGGAATTTGACATGGGATAATGATACGGGGATTGTTAATTGTACAGATATGTGTACATTTTTGTCTTGCCTCAATCATTCCTGGTGGCACAACTTTACTGGGGATATTTATATCCTCAGGGCTCGTAAGGAAATTTGGCTACCTGTTAACCTTACGCGACCGTGGGGGCCATCACCTCTTAAAACTTATATTTGGACTTCTCTCCAGCGAACCCGCCGTGCCCTTGGACTTATAATTGCCTCGGTGATGAGTCTTGTTGCCATCGCCTCCACTGTGACCGTAGCAGGACTTGCTCTTCATCAAAGCATACAAAATGCTAAATTTGTGCAGCAATGGCGTGAGCAATCTCACCGGTTATGGCTTCAACAACAAAACATTTATTCTCAACTTGCTAAAAGATTGGACAACATGGAGCAAGCATTAACATGGCTTGGAGATCAGCTCACTGTACTCAGTACTCAGATAACATTACAATGTGATTGAAACTCCACTCAATTTTTTGTAACGCCTGTGCCTTTTAACATCTCTCAAAATTGGACCGTAATCCAAAAATTATTAGTAGGCCATAAAAATATTAGTTTGGACATCCAAGAGCTCACTCAGAACATTTCCAAAGCATTTCGACAACAATTACATGTGTTGTCTGGAACCGTAACCCTGCAAGAGCTGGGTCAGCGCCTTGCTGCCTTTAACCCGTGGACCCAGATGAAAACATGGATTTCTACAATCTCCGGAAGTATATTGTTTTGGGCACTCAAATTGGGTCTACTTCTTTTGGTGATCCGATGCTCCCTCCGTCGCCTCCAAAAACAAAAGAAAACACAGGAACAAATATAGGCTACCTTTTTAGGATTGAGACAAAACAAAACAAAAAGGGGGAAATGCAGGGGCCTTTGAAAACAGTATGCTGAGAATAGATAGGGCTCAAGGACAGTATCTCCAATTGAACTTTTAATGAACTCCTGTAGGCGCCAAGAAGGCGGGCAGATAAGGAAGGGCATAGAAACAAGGAACTGAGTAGAAGGTTACATGTGGGAAAAGAAAGTTTGTTTTGCATTGCATTCTTTCTGCTGACGTGGGGTTTATGGAGTATAAATAAAGTGAGGCGGAGGCTCTGAGTGCGGCCGCCATGTTCTCTGTGTGTCTGTCTTTTGTGTGTTCTTTCATTCTCCACCACCCCTGGCACGGACCCCAACAAGCATCCTCCTCCTTCTGCTGTTCTCAGGCTCACCTTCTGTTTTGCCAGAGTTTGTCTTATTTCTCTGGTCTCTGCAAGTGCTCCTTGCTGCTTGGCAAGGTCTCTCCCAGGTCCTGCTGTCTAACGTCCAGATTCTCACACATTTTAATAATACGTACTTTTTCTTTAATACCATCCCTTTACCTCACACCCTACTTACACTCAAGGAAGGAGAGGAAGAACAATTCAGCCCTCCTCCACCACTTTCTCTGTTCAGAAGGCACATGAACTGTGGCCACAAGCCAATGCTCTACATTAGCCTAACCACAGTTTTCCCCTGATACTTGAAATCATGACAAGGTCTTAGTAGAATGCCAGATGTTTTTGCCCCAGGTTACAAAGGCCATTATTTCCTAAATAAAATTGAGCCTGAAACCAAAAATTCTTTTAACTCTTTAGTGACATTTTATTTATGCCATTAAAAAAATTTAGTGTCTGCGTGAGCTATGGAGCCACCTGATAATGGTGAAGTTTCCATTTAACATTTTCCTTCTCCCATTTAGCCCATATATTATACTGAATTACCAGGTTCAGAGAGCAGACAAACAGAAGTTTAAATAAGAAATTACTTTCTGATTGCTGGCAAGATGGCCAAATAGGAACAGCTCCGGTTTGCAGCTCCCAGCGAGACTGACACAGAAGGTAGGTGATTTCTGAATTTCCAACTCAGGTACCCGGCTCATCTTATTGGGACTAATTAGACAGTGGGTGCAGCCCACTGAGGGCGAGCTGAAGCAGGGTAGGGCATCACCTCACCTGGGAAGTGCAAGGGGTCAGGGAACTCCCTCCGCTAGCCAAGGGAAGCCATGAGGGACTGTGCTGTGAGGAACAGCGCACTCCGGACGAGATACTGTGCTTTTCCATGGTCTTCACAACCCACAGAACAGGAGACTCCCTCCGGTGCCTACACCACCCGGGCTCTGGGTTTCAAGCACAAAACTAGGCGGCCATTTGGGCAGACGCCAAGCTAGCTGCAGGAGTTTTTTGTTTTTTTTTTTAATGCCAGCAAGACAGAACCATTCACTCCCCTGGAAGGGGGTGCTGAAGCCAGGGAGCCAAGTGGTCGGGCTCGGTGGGTCCCACCCCCCACGGAGCCCAGCAAGCTAAGATCCACTGGCTTGAAATTCTCACTGCCAGCACAGCAGTCTGAGGTTGACCTGGGATGCTCAAACTTGGTAGGGGGAGGGGCATCTGCCATTGCTGAGGCTTGAGTAGGTGGTTTTACCCTCACAGTGTAAACAAAGCCACGGGAAGTTTGAAAAGGGCAGAGTGCACCGCAGCTCAGCAAGGCCACTGTGGCCAGACTGCCTCTCTAGATTCCTCCTCCCTGGGCAGGGCATCTCTGAAAGAAAGGCAGCAGCCCCAGTCAGGGGTTACAGATGAAACCCCCATCTCCCTGGAACAGAGCACCTGGGGGAAGGGGCAGCTGCGGGCACAACTTCAGCAGACTTAAACATCCCCGCCTGACGGCTCTGAAGAGAACAGCGGATCTCCCAGCACAGCGTTTGAGCTCTGCTAAGGGTCAGACTGCCTCCTCAAGTGGGTGTCTGATCCCCGGGTCTCCTGACTGGGAGACTCCTCCCAGTAGGGGCCGATAGACACCTCATACAGGAGAGCTCTGGCTGGCATCTGGTGGGTGCCCCTCTGGGACGAAGCTTCCAGAGGAAGGAACAGGCAGCGATCTTTGCTGTTCTGTAGGCTCTGCTGGTGACACCCAGGCAAACAGGGTCTGGAGTGGATCCCAGCAAACTCCAGCAGACCTGCAGCAGAGGGACCTGACTGTTAGAAGGAAAACTAACAAACAGAAAGGAATAGCATCAACATCAACAAAAAGGACATCCACTCAGAGACCCCCATCTGAAGGTCACCAACGTCAAAGACCAAAGGTAGATAAATCCACAAAGATGGGGAGAAACCAGTGCAAAAAGGCTGAAAATTCCCAAAGCCAGCATGCCTCTTCTCTTCCAAAGGATCACAACTCCTCGCCAGCAAGGGAACCAAAGTGGACGGAGAAAGAGTTTGACGAATTAACAGAAGTAGGCTTCAGAGGGTGGATAATAACAAACTCCTCCGAGCTAAAGGAGCACGTTCTAACCCAATGCAAGGAAGCTAACAATCTTGAAAAAAGGTTAGAGGAATTGCTAACTAGCATAACCAGTTTAGAGAAGAACATAAATGACCTGATGGAGCTGAAAAGCACAGCACAAGCACTTTGTGAAGCAGACACAAGTATCAATAGCCGAATGAATCAAGTGGAAGAAAGGATATCAGAGACTGAACATCAACTTAATGAAATAAAGCGAGAAGACAAGATTAGAGAAAAAAGAATGAAAACGGGACGAACAAAGTCTCGAAGAAATATGAGACTATGTGAAAAGACCAAATCTACGTTTGATTGGTGTACCTGCAACTGGCAGGGAGAATGGAACCAAGTTGGAAAATATTCTTCAGGATATTATCCAGGAGAACTTCCCCAACCTAGCAAGACAGGCCAACATTCAAATTCAGGAAATAGAACACCACAAAGATTCTCTTCAAGAAGAGCAACCCCAAGACACGTAATCGTCAGATTCACCAAGGTTGAAATGAAGGAAAAAATGTTAAGGGCAGCCAGAGAGAAAGGTCAGGTTACCCACAAAGGGAAGCCCATCACACTAACAGGGGATCTCTCTGCAGAAATCCTACAAGCCAGAAGAGAGTGGGAACCAATATTCAACATTCTTAAAGAAAACAATTTTATTTTCTTTTTTTCTTTTTTGAGACACCTCAGTCTCCCAAGTAGCTGGGATTACAGGCACACACCATCATGCCCAGCTAATTTTTTTTGTATTTTTACAGAGACAGGGTTTTGCCATGTTGGCCAGGTTGGTCTCGAACTCATGACCTCAGGTGATCCGCCTGCCTCAGCCTCCCAAAGTGCTGGGATTACAGGCATGAGCCACCACGCCCAGCCAAAGAAAACAATTTTCAACCCAGAATTTCATATCCAGCCAAATTAACCTTCATAAGTGAAGGAGAAATAAAATCCTTTACAGACAAGCAAATGCTGAGAGATTTTGTCAGCACCAGGCCTGCCTTCCAAGAGCTCGTGAAGGAAGCACTAAACCTGGAAAGGAACAACCTGTACCAGCAACTGCAAAAGCATACCAAATGGTAAAGACCATCGACACTATGAAGAAACTGCATCAACTAATGGGCAAAATAGCCAGCTAGCATCATAATGACACAATCAAATTCACACATAACAATACTAACCTTAAGTGTAAAAAGGCTAAATGCCCCAATTAAAAGACACAGTGATAAATTGGATAGAGTTAAGACCCATCAGCGTGCTGTATTCAGGAGATGCATCTCATGTGCAAAGACACACATAGGCTCAAAATAAAGGGATGAAGGAATATTTACCAAGCAAATGGAAAGAAAAAAAGCAGGGGTTGCAATCCTGGTCTCTGATAAAACAGACTTTAAACCAACAAAGATCAAAAGAGACAAAGAAGGGCATTACATAATGGTAAAGGGATCAATGCAACAAGAAGAGCTAACTATCCTAAATATATATGCACCCAATACAGGAGGATCCAGATTCATAAACTTCTTAGAGACCTACAAACAGACTTAGACTCTCACACAATAATAGTGGGAGAATTTAACACCCCACTGCCAATATTAGACAGAGCAATGAGACAGAAAATTAACAAGGATATTCAGGACTTGAACTCAGCTCTGGACCAAGTGGACCTAATACACATCTACAGAACACTACACCCCAAAGCAACAGAATGTACATTCTTCTTAGCACCACATCGCATTTATTCTAAAAGTAACCACATACTTGGAAGTAAAACACTCCTCAGCAAATTCAAAAGAATGGAAATCATAACAGTCTCTCAGATCACAGTGCAATCAAATTAGAACTCAGGATTAAGAAACTCACTCAAAATCGCATAATTACATGGAAACTGAACAACCTGCTCCTGAATGACTACTGGGTAAATAACGAAATTAAGGCAGAAATAAATAAGTTATTTGAAACCAATGAGAACAAAGACACAATGTACCAGAATCTCTGGAACACATTTAAAGCAGTGTTTAGAGGGAAATTTAATGCACTAAATGCCCACAACAGAAAGCAGGAAAGATCTATAACTGATACCCTAATATCAAAATTAAAAGAACTAGAGAAGTAAGAGCAAAGAAATTCAAAAGCTAGCAGAAGACAAGAAATAGTTACTAAGATCAGAGCAGAACTGAAGGAGATAGAGACATGAAAAACCCTTCAAACAATCAATGAATCCAGGAGCTGATTTTTTGAAAAGATCAACAAAATAGACCGCTAGCCAGACTAATAAAGAAGAAAAGAGCGAAGAATCAAATAGGTGCAATAAAAAGTGATAAATGGGGTATCACCACTGATCCCACAGAAATAGAAACTACCATAACAGAATACTATAAACACTTCTACACAAATAAACTAGAAAATCTAGAAGAAATGGATAAATTCCTGGACACATACACCCTCCCAAGTTTTCCTTCCCAAACGAGGAAGAAGTTGAATCCCTGAATAGACCAATAACAAGTTCTGAAATCGAGGCAGTAATTAATAGCCTACAAACCAAAAAAAGTCCAAGACCAGACAAATTCACAGCCAAATTCTACCAGAGGTACAAAGAGGAACTCTTGCCCAATCCTTCTGATACTACTCCAAACAATAGAAAAAAAGGGACTTCTCCCTAACTTATTTTATGAGGCCAGCATCATCCTGATACCAAAACCTGGCAGAAACACAAGAAAAAAAGAAAATTTCAGGCCAATATCCCTGATGAACATCGAAGTGAAAATCATCAATAAAATACTGGCAAACTGAATCCAGCAGCACATCAAAAAGCTTATCCACCACCATCAAGTTGACTTCATTCCTGGGATGTAAGGCTGGGTTCAACATATGCAAATCAATAAACGTAATCCATCACATAAACAGAACCAATGACAAAAACCACATGATTATCTCAATAGATGCAGAAAAGACCTCCAACAAAATTCAACACCCCTTCATGCTAAAACTCTCAAAAAACTAGGTGTTGATGGAATGTATCTCAAAATAATAAGAGCTTTTTATGACAAACCCACAGCTAATATCATACTGAATGGGCAAAAACTGGAAGCATTCCCTTTGAAAACTGGCACAAGACAAGGATGTCCTCTCTCAGCCCTCCTATTCAACAGAGTATTGGAAGTTCTGGCCAGGACAATCAGGCAAGAGAAAGAAATAAAGGGTATTCAAATAGAACAAAAAGGGTATTCAAGTACTCTCAAATTTATTAAGAGTAATTGTCTCTATTTGCACATGACATGACTGTATATTTAGAAAACCCCATCATCTCAGCCCAAAATCTCCTTAAGCTTATCAGCAACTTCAGTAAAGTCTCAGAATACAAAATCAGTGTGCAAAAATCACAAGCATTCCTATATATCAATAACAGACAGAGAACCAAATCATGAGTGAACTCCCATTCACAATTGCTACTAAGAGAATAAAATACCTAGGAATACAACTTACAAGGGATGGGAAGGACCTCTTCAAGGAGAACTACAAACCACTGCTCAATGCAATAAGAGAAGACACAAATAAATGGATAAACAGTCTATGTTCATGGATAGGAAGAATCAGTATTGTGAAAATGGCCATACTGCCCAAAGTAATTTATAGATTCAATGCTATCCCCATCAAGACACCATTGACTTCCTTCACAGAATTGGAAAAAACTACTTTAAATTCATATGGAACCAAAAAGGAGCCTGCATAGCCAAGAAAATCCTAAGCAAAACGAACAACGCTGGAGGCATCACACTACCTGACTTCAAACTATACTACAAGGCTATAGTAACCAAAACAGCATGATACTGGTACCGAAACAGATATATAGACTAATGGAATGAACAGAGCCCTCAGAAATAACACCACGCATTTACAACCATCTGATCTTTGACAAACCTGACAAAAACAAGCAATGGGGACAGCATTCCCTATTTAATAAATGGTGTTGGGAAAACTGGATAGCCATATGCAGAAAACTGAGACTAGACCCCTTCATTACACCTTATACAAAAATTAACTCAAAATGGATTTAAAACGTAAACATAAGACCTAAAACCATAAAAAACCCTAGAAGAAAACCTAGGCAATACCATTCAGGACAATACCATTCATGGGCAAAGACTTCATGACTAAAACACCAAAAGCAATGGCAACAAAAGCCAAAATTGACAAATGGGATCTAATTAAACTAAAGAGCTTCTGAACAGCAAAAGAAACTATCATCAGAGTGAACAGGGAACCTACAGAATGGGAGAAAATTTTTGCAGTCTACCCATCTGTCAAAGGGCTAATATCCAGAATCTACAAAGAACTTAAACAAATTTACAAGGAAAAAACAAACAAGCTCATCAGAAAGTGGGCGAAGGATATGAACAGACACTTCTCAAAAGAAGACATTTATGTAGCCAACAAACATATGAAAAAAAGCTCATCATCACTGGTCATTAGATGAGAAATGCAAATTGAAGAAATTGAGAAATGCAAATTGAAACCACAATGAGATATCATCTCACGCTGGTTAGAATGGTGATCATTAAAAAAATCAGGAAACAACAGATGCTGGACAGGATATGGAGAAATAGAAATGCTTTTACACTGTCGATGGGAGTGTAAATTAGTTCAACCATTGTGGAAGACAGTGTGGCAATTCCTCAAGGATCTAGAACCAGAAATACCATTTGACCCAGCAATCTCATTACTGGGTATATACCCAAAGGATTATAAATTATTCTACTATAAATATACATGCACATGTATGTTTATGCGGCACTATTCACAATAGTAAAGTCTTGGAACCAACCCAAATGCCCATCAATGATAGACTGGATAAAGAAAATGTGGCACATATATACCATGGAATACTATGCAGCCATAAACAAGTATGAGTTCATGTCCTTTGCAGGGACATGGATGAAGCTGGAAACCATCATTCTCAGCAAACTAATACAAGAACAGAAAACCAAACACCACATGTTCTCACTCATAAGTGGGAGTTGAACAATGAGAACACATGGACACAGGGAGGGGAACATCACACACCAGGGCCTGTCGGGGGTGGGAGACTAGGGGAGGGATAGCATGAGGAGAAATACCTAATGTAGATGACGGGCTGATGGGTGCAGCAAACTACCATGGCACGTGTATTGCACATTCTGCACATGTATCCCAGAGCTTAAAGTATAATAATAATAATAATAATAATAAAAGAAATTACTTTCTGTATACTTGACCAGTGGGTCTATATGTCTGGGTAAGGATGAGCAACCACAGACCTCCTCTGTAAGTTAGTTTCTCAATCTGCAAAATGTGAACCATAATGGTCCCCACCTGGCTAGACTGAGATAAGATCCAAAATACAGCTTGCACAGAGCAAGCATCCAAACATATTAATCACCATTTTCATTATTATTAGTGTGGAAGTCCACATGTCCTTTTTCATCTAAATTTTATCTTACTTTGAGAACAAAGGATCTTTTTGAGTACAAAAGAGAACTTAATTTTTATTCTCTTTTTTCTTTTCTACCTAGAATAGTTTGGGTTTTTGGTTTTGCGCTTTTGTTGTTTTACAAAGAGAGATAATATAAAGAGGCAACAAATTTATTAAGAGTAAATATCATATTGATGTTTGGTGAAGGTCTAGCACGAATAGTAAAAGTTGTTTTAGACACTCTCCATTCTGCTATTCTAGGGAGCGTTCCAACCATACTGAAGAAATGGCCATCTGAGGGGATGGGGAGAAGAATAGTGGGTTTAAGGTGGGAGAAAAACATAACCACAAAGAGGATTTTATAAAAATGAGGCAAAATTGATCACCCTGGCTCTGGCCTTGTTCCCCCTCTGTGGGGTTTCCTCTTTTTCTTACAGCAAAAGAATTTTAAAGATTTTGTGTAATTACAGAGAACTCTGAAATCAGAAAATGCAGTTACCAGGGGAGGGCAAGATGTTTCAATCTGAGGAATACACTTCATTATTAGTACTTTATCTCATATCCACGTTAGTATCTTGCACAGTCCAATGCGTTATGCTGTAAACATTTTAAATTTCTCTACATATGTATTCACTTAGCAGTAAATAAAAAATAAATGGATATTAAAAACTGAGAGTTTCCAAGACATTTAAAACATGGATAGCAGCTTAAATTTTTTACATGTCTAATATATCAGATTCTCGTAACTGCTTAAAGCCCTTTAGGAGTAAGTCTAGAACAACACAATCATTACAAAACAGAAGCATACACCTACATTGTAACTGGTTATACAAGTGTTAATACCACGACTTAGAATTTTCTTTATCTTTTTACTCCAATAGGAAGATTTGTATCATGAAAGCCTGGAGAGTTTCTCACCTAAACTCTCATCCTCCCAGATCTAAAACGATGGCATTCATCCACTTTCACTTGCCAAATTAGGATTCTTAATGATTTTAGATCTTTTTCTGTTTTAAAGCTGAAACCAGGATTATGAGCTCGTCTACATTTTTATTGTAAATAATGCATTCTGCATTCTATTACAGAGAAATTGAAGGCTTGTGCTTCCTAAGCCTTTAAGCTACAAACACATTTGTCTGAATCTAATAATCCAGGTAAGGAGAATTGTAATTTACAATTACCCATGATAAAGAAATACCAATTAGCCAAGTGTAAACTGCTAGCACTGAGGCAGTAAAAATAGGGTCTGGAGGCAGGGAACGTAAGGCCGATTCACACTTCAGCTATGACAGGAAATATCCCCTCCATAGCGCATGCACCAAATAAATAACTTTGTAACTTTACTTCATCCTCTATTTACATAGGGCATACCTCAGGTAACCAACAGAATCCTCCAGAGGTTTTTTAAACTCCCAAAGTTCTATACCAGGGACCTTGAGCCCCTAAGCTTGGGCCGCTCCCACACTGTGGAGTGTACTTTCAATTTCAATACATCTCTTCGTTCCATCCTTGCTTTGTTTGTGCATTTTGTCCAGTTCTTTGTTCAAGATGCCAAGAGCCTGGACACCCGCCACCGGTAACAGTATGGTTGTGCTGGTGTCTCTCACAAAGGGCTCTTATTCACCCTCTGTTTTCCTTAATCTTTCTTCCCCCTAAACCAAGATCTACTAAAAATATAATCTCTGATCTTAAGGGAGATTAGAATACAGAGATGTAGGATGGGCTACAGAACAACTCATGTCACCATTAAGACAGGGCTGCAACGTCACTATATTATAGCTCCTGTCACCCTGGGTAGACCTGTCCCTCACTGGAATTTTGGACTTCACATATCTATCTTCAGCCCATAAAGGTCATCTTACCTGAACTCCTAAGGAATCAACCTTTTTGGAGCAGAGGGAAGGAACTATTGTCCAGGATGCAAATAGGCCAGGTGTGCTCTTTAGAAACTAACAGAACAACCAGAAACTACCAAACTGAGCAGGATGGCAGGGTCTGGATGGATGCTGCTGCAGGGCAGGTTCCTCCACAAGATGGACCCAAAGAAAGCCTTTAAATACTGACCATGAGTGTGAGAAAAACCACTCCTCCCCCATACGAAGGGCTGCAGCAGAACACCAGCTACACTCAGATGTGCAGATGTATCATCTAAGGTTATTTACAAGAGCTAAAGAAGGTCCTCCTTTGGTGAGAGGACTCCAGAGTTATTCAATACGTCATCATCAGTAGTGAAAGAACAGCGTACTTTAAGGGTGAAGAACTCATACAGATGGTTTCAGGTATCGATGCAGATAGATGTTAAGAGCTTTTACTTTTAGAAAAAGACTGCTAGAAAGGAAATTTTCAGGACAAAATGGAAAACCAGGCAAGGATCACCAACTTGGAAGAAAATACACAACATGGAAAAAGAAGACCAGAATTAACAGAAAAAATGTCTCCAGAGGAAACAAATAATTAAGTGAACAGATTAAAACTAGAAAAGAACATGCAGCATCTTCAGTGAGATTTAGGGAATATTTAATCCACAAAACAAAAATGGGATCCCATAAAAAAGAAATAGCAGAGAACAACAAAAAGAGTTCAACAAATAAAACTGGGATTGTCCACATGGGGAAAAAATTAGTATAAGACCTGAAAAATGCAATCAAGAAATTCTAAACAGGCCAAGTGTGGTGGCTCACACCTGTGATCCCAGCACTTTGGGAGGCTGAGGCAGGCGGATCACCTGAGGTCAGGAACTCAAGATCACCCTGGTCATCATGGTGAAACCCGTCTCTACAAAAAATACAAAAATTAGCCAGGTGTGGTGGTGTGCACCTGTAATCCCAGCTACTCGGAAGGCTGAGGCAGGAGAATCACTTGAACCCAGGAGGTGGAGATTGCAGTTAGCCAAGATCATGCCACTGCACTCCACTCTGGGCAACAGAGTGAGACTCCATCTCAAAAAAAAAGAAAGAAAGAAAAAGAAATTCTAAACATTATGGAGGATATGAGCTTTATGCAAAAAAAGAAAAGGAAATCTGGGCTGGAATATTATGAGAGGGTCGTTGAAGTGAGTTAGGAAGGCCCAATCTGACAAGGGTATTTGAAAAAGATAGTGCAGAGAAAATGGAAGGAAGGAAGTCATTAAACACCACCAAACAAACAGGGAACAATTTCCCAGAACAGAAGGCTATTGGGCTTCATATTAGAAGGCCTCAAGTGCCCACGCATTTACACCAAAAGGACCCAGGCTTAGACTAGTTTTTCCATGGTCCCAGCTGGTGTCGAGCCATTACCCCAAACTGGCCTCCTTTACTGTGTCTCCAAGGCCTCTCTGGGTTTTAAAATAGTATCTCGCCACATATAGGAAATACAACAATAAGAAAATATGTTTAAAATATACCAAAACTCTAGTGCCACCCAACTGAACGATGCCCTAGAGACACTGATAGACTATTTCAGAAAATTAGTCTTTTCTTTTGGAAGACAAAATATTTTGGAAAACATCACTTTAAGCAAATTTATGCTGAAAATAAACACATATACACATCCATATCTAGTTATCTGTATTATTCTAAAGTGCCTGCCTTGAAAAGATGCATGTGCAGAGGTCTGTGGGGAAAGGGTTGAGGGCAACAGTTTTTCTGAAATCCCCATGAAACGGAAAGTACCATGGAAAACCAATCACTTACCAAAATATTGTAACAGAGGCTCAAGAACTAGAAATTTCTGAAAGAAAGCCTATGGATACGTTGCAAACTTTATACCAGAAAGCATTCTCTTATGACAGCTTCAAGATGTACTCGGAAATTGCTTTTACTGAAACTCATCACTCTTTTAAGACTGCATAGCAGTCATTACTTTCTGACATTTCCTTGTTTATTGCTTGTTTCTTTGTGCATTGCAGGTTCCATAAAAGCTGACTTTGTGCCTGAAATATTAGAAGTGAACTGTGAGTGCTTACTGAATGAATAGGTGAATGGACAAAACCTCCTGCAATACAGCTTTCTTACCATGCCTCAAGAGACTCTTCAGTCCATCCTGCTGTTGTTGTTGATTGGTTCTCCCTGAGTGCTGACCCTAAGCCCAGATTCAGAGATTTCTCCAAGAAACAGCTTCTTTGAAAGACATCATTCCTATTGTCAACCCTGTTGGCATAGAAATAAAATGTAGACGTTGGACAAAGGCAATATTTGTTGTGACAAAGGCGGTATTTGTTGCAATAAAACATAAATGTATGTCCATCAGTGGGGAATGAGAATGCTGGGATTTGAAGAGGCCAGAAAATAATACTGCTCTCTTTCTCTCTTGGGAAAGAGAGGGGATGTATTTTTTTGAAAAGCCATAAGCTTACAACAGATGAAATTCAAACTTCATACTAAACTTCACTGGAGAATGTAACCAAAATATGAGGCCACAGGTAAGCTTTCTACTTCTTTCCTCCACTCTCCAAGATGGCCCACTGATATGGTTTGGCTGTGTCCCCACCCAAATCTCATCCTGAATCCCCATGTGTCATGGGAGGGACCCAGTGGGAGGTAACTGAATCATGGGGGCAGTTACTCCCATGCTGTTCTGTGATAGTGAATGAGATCTCATGAGATCTGATGGTTTTATAAGGGGCTTTTCCCCTTTTGCTTGGCACTTCTCCGTCCTGCCATCATGTGAAGAAGGATGTGTTTGCTTGCCCTTCTCCCATGATTGTAAGTTTCCTGAGGCCTCCCCAACCATGTGGAACTGTGAGTCAATTAAACCTCTTTCTTTCATAAGTTACCCAGTCTCAGGCAGTTCTTTACAGCAGCGTGAGAACAGACTAATACACTCACCCAGGATTCAGTCTCCCACCTGCAGAAGCAGCGGTCCCCCAGTCGCTGTGCTCCTGGCATCTTTGAGGGCCAGCCACTGGGACTGAAAGCTCAAAGAGGGCAGGGCCGCTGCCTGGTTTCTTCTCCTAGTTTCAACAGTAAGATAAATCATTCCCACCTGAAGTCTGGAATCACTAATAGTGTTATACCCTGGGAGTGTAAATTCCCTCATGCAACATGATTGGGAGGAATAAGATTTCCACCAGATAAATAAATAAATAGTTTGTGGTGCACCCAATGTTATGTTATATATCTATTTACAAGAATACAGTTAGATCAGATCTACATATACCAACACAAGAAATGTTTCAAAGGATTTTAAAAGTGGTAGAAAAATTGCAACACTGTTTGTGACCTTCTTTTTTTCTTTTTTTTTTTTTTTTGACAAGGTCTTGCTCTGTCACCCAGGCTGGAGGGCAGTAGTATGATCATGTCTCACTGCAGCCTTGACCTCCTATGTCTAAGGTATCCCCCTGCCTCAGCCTCCCAAGTAGCTAGGACCACAGGCACATACCACTACACTCAGCTAAGTTTAAACTTTTTGTAGACATGGGGTTTCACCCTGTTATGCGGGCTGGTCTAGAACTCCTGGGCTCAAGAGACTCCCCTGCCTTGACCTCCCAAAGTACTGGAATTACAGGCATGATCATGGTTCTGCTTATGCAGGTGTAAGACCTCTGCTTAGGCAGGTGGGAGCCCTCCATGCCCCCAATCTGACCTCCTTCTTATAAAAGCAAATGAATAATTCTAATATATGTTAGCATATGTATAAATATGAAAAAAGGAAGACTATGCATTGAACTTAATGATGGTTATCTTTAGCAAGTGGGATCACAGTGGATGTTTATTATATTATAGTTTTGATGATGTCTGAATTTTGTATTAATGGAAAGCCATTTCTTCTACAATAAGGAAAAATAATAAAGAGTAGAAAAAAGGGAATTAAATTAGAAAGCAGATGACATTTCTTTTCCTCCTAAGATCATGCTGAAGAACAAGAGGAAGAGGGAAACCAAATGGGTGTGTGTAGGACTGGAATATGCAAATGGCCTTGCCCCTAGGTGCCACCACATATGGTGAGGATGGGAGAGTGCTGGCCACCTGTTGCCTCTCATGGCCTGCAGTTTTCTTCTTGAAGCCTCAGGAGCCTCCCACTCCCAGTCCTCATCCCTCCTGTGTGCTGTCACATGAAACCACAGTCTCGGTTCTGGGCTTTACAGCCAGCCTATGAGGGCACTGAAAAAAGAGCATGGGCTCTGACAGTAGATGGGCCGAGGCTCAAATGCTAATCCTGCCATGTCCTCAATGTTTGAATCTGGGCAAATCACTTATCGGCTGAAACTTGGTTTTCACATCTCCAAAATGGATTTAATAATATTCTCATAACAGGTAGTGGATATAAAGCCCTCAGCTAGCCTCCTTTCCCCTGATTATAATTTCCAAACTGCTTGAAATAGGGTGTCACGGGACACAAGAGGGATACAGCATAAGAAACTGAGTGAGATTTAACTTCCTAGAATCACATACACTGGGGACTGGTCACTTGAGAAACCAGACCCCAAAGACGCCCTTGGTGTGGGAGCAGAGATCTGTGTCCAGAAACTGCAGGAAAACCACAAAACTCGGAAGCATGTTCATTTCTCCACCCTCTCATCAAGACAATCAACCTGCTGCTTCGGGCCCTTCTAAGAGTTTGCTTTCACTCTGCTGAATGTCTCCTTTTTTTGCACTTTGTAATATGCTTTAACATCTTTCTTTATGTATCCAAAGAAACAATCAATTAGCTTTAACTTTCAAAATTCTTGATTTTTCACTGTGGTGGCAAAAAAAGGAAGCCTCTGAGACCCCACCAATAACTCATTTGGGATGTCTTTGAAATATTAAACTGTGTTCCTTTAAAAAAAAAAAAAAAAAAGTAAATGGCCAGGTGCGGTGGCCCACACCTGTAATCCCAGCACTTTGGGAGGCTGAGGCGGGCAGATCAGGAGATCAAGAGATCAAGACCATCCTGGCCAACAGGGTGAAACCCCGTCTCTACTAAAAATACAAAAAATTACCTAGGTGTGCTGATGTGCACCTGTAATCCCAGCTGCTCATGAGGTTGAGGCAGGAGAATTGCTTGAACCCAGGAGGCGGAGGTTGCAGTGAGCCAAGATTGTGCCACTGCACTCTGCCTGGCGACAGAGCAAGACTCCGTCTTGCTCTAGTTCCCCAGGGAAGAACTTCATAGGATATTGCGTTTTATTTCACATTCCCCACCTCAAGCCTTGTCTCCCAGCATTCCAGAGACTAGTGGAGGCATGGAAGAGGTACGGTCTGCACAAGCTCAGGCTAACAGCTCTCTTACAAGATGGTTTTCAGACTGTTAAGATGACCCCAAGTAAGCATGGATTCTGTAAATGTGTCACTGAAAAGCTGAATCCTGCTATCAAAGACAAGAAAAGAGCTTCAAGAACAGACGCTGGAAACAGTCCAGCCACACAAAAGCTGGAGAGATTCAGGAACAAAGTAAGAGCGAGGAGCAAATGATCAGGCTGTGAGACGGACCAAGCCACGGTGATTCTGGCATAAGAAGAGGTGACTATAACAAGGTTTCAGAAGACAGCCCCACATATACGAACAATTGCTTTACAATTAAGAGGCTTCTGCGATTTAGTGTTAAAAGGATGATCTTTTCAATAAATAGTGCTGGAGCACTTATATTTTATATTATATAAAATACTTATATTTTAAAAATATACTTCAATCCACACCTTATATCACATACAAACATCAATCCTAAGTAGGTTATAGGCCTAAACTTATAAGCTAAAATCATTCTTTCAACAATAGAAGAAAACATAAGAGAAAAATCTTTGCAACTTCGAGTTAGGCGAATAGTTTTTAGAGAGGACACCAGTCAGTATCTTTAACCTTAAAAACATATTAAATCGGCTGGGCACAGGGGCTCATGCCTTTATCCCAGCACTTTGGGAGGCTGAGGCGGGTGGATCACCTGAGATCAGGAGTTTGAGACCAGCCTGACAAACATGGAGAAACCTCATCTCTACTAAAAATATAAAATTAGCTGGGCATGGTGGCACATGCCTATAATCCCAGCTACTCAGGAGGCTGAGCCAGGAGAATCGCTTGAACCTGGGAGGCAGCGGTTACAGTGAGCCGACATTGCGCCATTGCACTCCAGCCTGGGCAACAAGAGCAAAACTCCATCTCAAAAAAAAAAACCAAAACCAAAAAAAACTTACTAAACTGAGCATCAGAAGTTAAAACCTTTTTTCCTCCAGAATATACAGGAGGCAACATCACCAAGATAACAGGATAGGAAATACCAGCCTTTATCTACCACATTAAAAATATATATATATAAACAGCTATGCACAAAACAAATAGTCCAGAGGGAGCTCAATGGTTCATTAAAGAATCTGCAGCAATACAGTAGAGCACAAAAATCCAGGGAATATTCACATAAAAAGTATCGCTGGTGAGACTGGCATAGCTAAGATGCCAGGAGATGACTAGGAGCGAAAAAGAAGAAAGTCAAAGACTATCGGTATCAGTTACACGATGGGAACCACCAGCATTGCCAGGGGCCTGCTCCACAAAGGACACTGGCATCTCTTGTTACTGAGCTAATCAACAACCCTTCTCACCAGAGAACCCCAGAGAAAGAGAGATGCCTGAACACCCCATCCCCATCCATGAATTTGATAGACTGTTGAGCCACTTCAGGAAAGGAGCAACCACCTCTCCCAAGCCCATGTGTTCTTTGATCCTGGAGCTACACTGAACTGCGAGTGCCTGCACTCCAATGACAGCATCTTAGTCCATTTGTGTTGCTCTAAAGGAATACCTGAGGCTGATAATTTACAAGGAAAAGAGGTTTATTTGGCTTATGGTTCTGCAGGCTGTACAAGAAGCATGGTGCTGGTCTCCTCAGCTTCCTGTGAGGGTCTCATGCTGCTTCCACTCATGATGGAAGGTGAAAGGGAACTAGCATGCAGAGATCATACGGTGACAGCAGAAGCAAGGGAGAGAGGGAAGGTGCCAGGTTCTTTTGGACAACAAGCTCTCAGTGAAACTAAGAGACCTCATTCACTCCCACAAGGATAGCACCAAGCCATTCATGAGGGACCCTCATGACCCAAACACCTCCCAATAGGCCCCACTTCCAACATTAGGGATCAAATTTCAACATGAGGTTTGGAGGATCAAATATTCAAACTATAGCACCTGGACTCTGTGGCTGTACTGGGCCTGACACTGGAGTCATCACCAAAGTGAGCTAGTTCACACGCCAGGCCTAAGAGCCAAACCTTCACTGTGCA